TGTCGTAAGCTTCTCTCTTTCATGTGCGGGTTATTTGTATATCGTTCCAGTCACGGTATTGTGCGTTTTTTTGTTATTAATATTAATACCAGTTTGAGCATTAAGCAGGTCTTGAAGTGTTGCAGTGAATAAGCTGAAGGCTACTAATACGTCCATCCGCAATCTGCTTATAGTATGCAGAGAATGTGAAATAAAGAATTAACATAGTATAATGGATTTGGAAAAGGCGTATGACAGGGTGGATAGGGGGGCAATGTGGCAGATGTTGCAAGTGTATCGTATAGGAGGTAGGTTACTGAAAGCAGTGAAGAGTTTTTACAAGGATAGTGAGGCTCAAGTTAAGACTATGTAGGAAAGAGGGAGATTATTTCCCAGTAAAAGTAGGCCTTAGACAAGAATGTGTGATGTCACCGTGGTTGTTTAATATATTTATAGATGGGGTTGTAAGAGAAGTAAATGCGAGGGTCTTGGCAAGAGGCGTGGAGTTAAAAGATAAAGAATCACACATAAAGTGGGAGTTGTCACAGTTGCTCTTTGCTGATGACACTGTGCTCTTGGGAGATTCTGAAGAGAAGTTGCAGAGGTTGGTGGATGTATTTGGTAGGGTATGTAAAAGAAGAAAATTAAAAGTGAATACAGGAAAGAGTAAGGTTATGAGGATAACAAAAAGATTAAGTAATGAAAGATTGGATATCAGATTGGAGGGAGAGAATATGGAGGAGGTGAATGTATTCAGATATTTGGGAGTGGACGTGTCAGCGGATGGATCTATGAAAGATGAGGTGAATCATAGAATTGATGAGGGGAAAAAGGGTGAGCGGTGCACTTAGGAGTCTGTGGAGACAAAGAACTTTGTCCTTGGAGGCAAAGAGGGGAATGTATGAGAGTATAGTTTTACCAACGCTCTTATATGGGTGTGAAGCATGGGTGATGAATGTTGCAGCAAGGAGAAGGCTGGAGGCAGTGGAGATGTCATGTCTGAGGGCAATGTGTGGTGTGAATATAATGCAGAGAATTCGTAGTTTGGAAGTTAGGAGGTGCGGGATTGCCAAAACTGTTGTCCAGAGGGCTGAGGAAGGGTTGTTGAGGTGGGTCGGACATGTAGAGAGAATGAAGCGAAACAGAATGACTTCAAGAGTGTATCAGTCGGTAGCGGAAGGAAGGCGGGGTAGGGGTCGGCCTAGGAAAGGTTGGAGGGAGCGGGTAAAGGAGGTTTTGTGTGCGAGGGGCATGGACTTCCAGCGAGCATGCGTGAGCGTGTTTGATAGAAGTGAATGGAGACAAATGGTTTTTTATACTTGACGTGCTGTTGGAGTGTGAGCAAAGTAACATTTATGAAGGGATTCAGGGAAACTGGCAGGCCGGACTCGAGTCCTGGAGATGGGAAGTACAGTGCCTGCACTCTGAAGGAGGGGTGTTAATGTTGCAGTTTAAAAACTGTAGTGTAAAACACCCTTCTGGCAAGACAGTGATGGAGTGAATGATGGTGAAAGTTTTTCTTTTTTGGGCCACCCTGCCTTGATGGGAATCGGCCAGTGTGTTAATAATAATTAATAATAATAGAAAGTGTGTGTATATATACTGTATTTCATGGTTTTTAAGATTTGTTTCAATGTCTCAGCATCGGACATAACTGGTAGAGCTGCAGCCCACCCCACACCCAAAACTTATAGCTCCCATCACTGACCTTCAGTTTATAGGGTGCAGGCTGGTTCTTGGAGACATGAAAAAAAAAAATGCATCTAATAAGCCACGAAATACGGTACCTAGCTTGGAGTTTTAGAACTTGCTTGCCATGGGTCTAACCCCCACCTACTCCATGGTTTATGTACGTCTGTACAAAAATTTTTTTTTTTTTTTTTTTTTTTTTCAACAAGTCGGCCGTCTCCCACCGAGGCAGGGTGACCCAAAAAAGAAAGAAAATCCCCAAAAAGAAAATACTTTCATCATCATTCAACACTTTCACCACACTCGCACATTATCACTGTACAAAAATAGTGTCATTAAAAAAATACATTTAATGTTTGTCTGGAATATGCATTCATTTCTTTCTGGTATTCTGCATCTTCTAGTTACAGATTATTTTTATTATTTTGATACCACACACACTACTGAAATTTTAACTTGCTTTGTTTTCTGTAATTTTATTTATTAACACATCTGCTGTCTCACACCAAGGCAGGGTGGCCCGAAAAAGAAAAACTTTCACCATCATTCACTCCATCACTGTCTTGCCAGAAGGGTGCTTTACACTACAGTTACAAAACTGCAACATTAACACCCCTCTTTCAGAGTGCAGACACTGTACTTCCCATCTCCAGGACTCAAGTCCGACCTGCCAGTTTCCTGGATCCCTTCATAAATATTACCTTGCTGACACTCCAACAACACATCATGTCCTAAAAACTATTTGCTCCTATCTAACATGCTCACGCATGCTTGCTGGAAGTCCAAGCCCCTCGCACACAAAACCTCCTTTACCCCCTCCCTCCAACCTTTCCTAGGCCAACCCCTACCCTGCCTTTCCTCCACTACAGATTTATACACTCTCAAAGTCATTCTATTTTGTTTCATCTTCTCTACATGTCCAAACCACCTCAACAACCCCTCCTCAGCCCTCTGGATAATAGTTTTGGTAAACCTGCACCTCCTCCTAATTTTCAAACTACGAATTCTCTGCATTATATTCACACCACACATTGGCCTCGGATACAACATCTCCACTGCCTCCAGCCTTCTCCTTGTTACAACATTCACCACCCGTGTTTCAAACTCGTATAAGAGCATTGGTATAACTATACTCTCATACATTCTCCTCTCTGCTTCCAAGGACAAAGTTCTTTGTCCCCACAGACTCCTCAGTGCACCACTCACCTTTTTTCCTCGTTAATTCTATGATTCACCTCATCTTTCATAGACCCATCTGCTGACACGTCCACTCCTAAATATCTCAATACATTCACCTCCTCCATACTCTCTCCCTCCAGTCTGATATCTAATTTCTCATTACCTAATTTTTTGTTATCCTCATCTCCAGGTAAACTCACCTTCCTCTTTCCTATATTCACTTTCAATTTTCTTCTTTTACATACCCTACCAAACTCATCCCCCAACCTCTGCCATTTCTCTTCAGAATCTCCCAAAAAGCACAGTGTCAGCAGCAAGGAGCAACTGTGACAACTCCCACTTTGTGTTAGATTCTTTATCTTTTAACCCCAAACCTCTTGCCAACATCCGAGCATTCACTTCTCCTACAACCCCACTGAACAACCATGGTGACATCACACATCCTTGTCTAAGGCCTACTTTTACTGGGAAATAATCTCCCTCTCTCCTACATACTCTAACCTGACCCCTCACTATCCTCGTAAAAACTTTTCATTGCTTTCAATAACCTACATCCTATTCCATACATTTGCAACATCTGCCACATTGCCCCCATATCCTCCCTATCATACACCTTTTCCAAATCCATAAATGCCACAAAAACATCTTTACACTTATCTTAATACTGTTCACCTATATGTTTCACTGTAAACACTTGGTCTAAACACCCCCTATCCTTCCTTAAGTCTCCTTGTTCATCTGCTATCCTACTCTCCATCTTACAATTTAATTCTTTCAATAATAACTCTTACCATACACTTTACCAGGTACACTCAAGACTTTTTTTTTTTTAACACATCAGCCGGCTCCCACCGAGGCAGGGTGACCCAAAAGGGTCTCCCATACATAATCACTGTCTTTGCAGAGGTGCTCAGATACAACAGTTTAGACGTCCCTCCAAACTGTCAATATCCTAAACCCCTCCTTTAAAGTGCAGGCATTGTATGTACTTCCCATTTCCAGGACTCAAGTCTGGCTAACCAGTTTCCCTGAATCCCTTCACAAAATACAGTGGACCCCCACTTTACGATCAGCTCCCAATGCGACCAATTATGTAAGTGTATTTATGTAAGTGCATTTGTATGTGTATGTTTGGGGTCTGAAATGGACTAATCTAATTCACAATATTCCTTATGGGAACAAATTCATTCAGTAATGGCACCTGAACATACTTCAGGAATGAAATATCATAAACCGGGGGTCCATTGTATTACCCTGCTCACACTACAACAGCTCGTCAGGTCCCAAAAACCATTCATCTCCATTCACTCATATCGAACACGCTCACACACGCTTGCCTGAAGTCCAAACCCCTCGCCCACAAAACCTCCTTTACCCTCTTCCTCCAACCTTTTCGGCGATGACACCTACCCTGCCTCCCTTCCCCAATTGATTTATACGCTCTCCAAGTCATTCTACTTTTGAAATCTCCTAAAAACCCATGAGTGTAATTGCAAGGTTTTAATAATGCACGTGTGAATAATATAAAAGTCCTGCGAGGACATAATTTTTGAAGTGTTTTGTGGAAAATATGAAACATTCAGCTGAAAACTAGGAAAATCTAAACGGCAAACATGCAAAACAATTAGCTGAATTAATGTCATAAATGAATAAAAGGCTAGAAATTTAGCATCTAGTATAACACACAATAATATAATACCCTCTAGTGCCATATTATACTTGAGAAGAGGTCTAACAGCATGCATGTCCAATGTGAAATACAAAGATTGTGAATGCCACAACAGCTGCACTGATCATGCAATAGCAAGGCTCAATGGTGTTTTTTTTGGCTTCTCTTAATCCAGTTTGAAAAAAAACAAAATTTATACAAGGAAATACTACTGATCAACTGGTTCTTCACTAGATTCAAATGGAGTACAGCTGGTAATAATGAAGAAAAAGACACTGATGAACAAGCTCTGATTGGGACAATTTCGTTCCCTAGAGCTCTACACAAAGTGAAAAACTGTCCCAGGAAAAAGCTCATCCTGCAATAAGCTTTTGTTAAGGCACTATATCCATAAATACTTTCAAGAATCCATTCCACCTTTAAGCCTTGCTTTAAGACCCATAATATATCTATATAAAGCTTTAGCAAGTCATAAGCCACATACCTGGTAATCTTGAGCTTCTTCTTGGGTCAGGAAGCTTTAAACCTGCAATTTGAATCCCTCTTCAGTTAATAGTCAGAGATAGAAAGAGAAATGAAGGAATGTCAGTACACTACGGTAGTAAGGACAAAGAGAGCATTTAAGTGCAGGATTATTGCAGTAATGTCAAAAATGTAACAAATATTATACTACGAGACGACGTTCGGTTGTTTTCAAGGGATCTCCTAGCCTTTCTCCAACAAGTCCCTAAAGTTGGAAATATAAACACATAAGCAGTATAATGTGATCCTTTGTTGACAACGTTTCGGTCACACACAGATCTGTTTGTGACTTGATAACGCCCACTGTGTGGGCGAAACGTTGTCAATAAAGGATCACATTATACTGCTTATGCGTTTATATTTTCCTTGTGTCGGTATTTTATACCATTTATTTCCATCCAGGTCCCTAAAGTTGTCGATTATCAATTCTTTTCAAGGGATCTCCTAGCCTTCAACAAGTCCCTCAAGTTGTCAATTATCAATTATTTTCAAGGGACTCCCTAGCCTTACTCAAACTGACACATCTCGCTCAAGGTGTCTAAGTTATCAATTAAATATACACTAACTGAAAAATTATATACAAATTTAACTACAACTAATGTTTCAGTTGCACTTTCTATGGTAATATCATTCATATGAATAACACCAGTTATCAAAACTTGTTGATACCTTACTGATTCCAATTTACAAATTCTCCACCAACCTGAGCACAAAACAGTGTTGAATCTATTTACTAATAATGAAAAACTAGTGCAGCCAATAAAATCTACAACCTTATTTATCTAGCATTCAAATAACTTCTCAAAAAAGAATTGTATTTTTTTTTGAGCTATCAATGCAATAAAAGAGCATTCGATTCTTTAGCAATGAATCATGACTGAGGTTCAAGTGAATAATTTTTATATAAAGATGTGTATCCTAAAACACTTGTATATTATGAGCCACATGTTTGCTTAATATACGTTATACAGTCAAGAACTTGTAATCTCCTTTTGTAGCAAAACTAAAGTTGGATGAAGATTACAGTGCACTTCCACACTTTGAGTAAGCTCTTGCTGTAATTTGTCATTACTGCATGTACCATGGCATTATTTTGGGTTACTATTGGGTAGACAGTGTAGTAAAGAATGGGTCAACAGGCAAGAGTGAAAGTGCCAATAATGTCAGGTTATGGGTCTCTAAAAGGTCCTGTAATGAGTCGTAAAATGCAATACCGCCTTCACGTCGCCAAGACAAAGTTGGTATACCTTAATATAATTAACCTCAATAGCAAGCAAAACATAGGTTGACGAGTACAGAGACTTTATCAAGACTTGGCTACCTTTCAGGGAGTTATCAACCACGGCAAAATTAATTACTACTTTTTCAACACCCGAATTTAGCAGTTATGATTCTTGATATGATCTTTGTAGTAAGAACCTATACTTCCCACATACTGATGCATATATTATAAATTTTATCATGTTCTTATTTACCCTAAAAATACTGAAAAGAAGGATGTACTGATGAGTTAACCTGAGTAATGAGTGAAATATTAAAATACTCACAGGAAAGCACTAAATATATAACAGTCATACAGCACCTGGGTAATGGTAGATAATCAGGTCTGACTCGTGGAAGGGCAACTCCAATTCCTTGGCTCAAGAACCTTTTATTAGTATCGAGTCAACTCCTTAGAAGAAAGTAATGAGAGCAAAATCCAACCAAAATAGTGGATTTTTAAACCTTTTTAAACTGTCAAGCTAGAATGAAAGTACTCTCAAACAAAAGCAACTGAAATCTATAATACATATATTACTTTAATGTACTCGTTATTGAAAGTTTGCCAGAAAATTCGTTCAATAATTGAACAAAAACCTGCACCTGGAGAGGAACCTAATTATGATGTTTTGGTCTGCCATGGACCACTGACAAGTCACAAGTCGACAATATGTTAGGTAAAAGGACCTATGTGCAACTAATGTGATATTTTACTGTGGCAACGTTTCGCTCTCCAGGAGCTTTATCAAGCCCAAGTTCCTGGAGAGCAAATCATTGCCACAATAAAATGTCACATTAGTTGCACATGTTGCCATTAAACTAACATATTGTTTGCAATTCTACCAACATTACTAACTTGAATATGATCCAGAATGGATCAAAACATCATCATAAGATTCCTCACCTAAGTACACTAAGTCCTCAACTTACAAACACATTGGGTACCGTCTGTATAATAACGATATTCTTCTTCTTACAACAAACCAGGTGTATCCCACAGAAGCAGGGTGGCCTCCCCCCCCCCAAAAAAAAAAGTTTCTCTTTTCAACTCTAGTAATATATACAGGAGAAGGGGTTACTAGCCCCTTGCTCCCAGCATTTTTAGTCGCCTCTTACGACAAGCATGGCTTATGGAGGAAGAATTCTGTTCCACTTCCCCATGGAGATAAAAGGAAATAAACAAGAACAAGAATTAGTAAGATAAAATCGAAGAAAACTCAGATGAGTGTGTATACGTAAATGTGTACAAGCATGTGTAGTGTGACCTAAATGTAAGTAGAAGTAGCAAGACATACGATATTATACAGGATATTATACACAATAATGGTATAATAATAATATACACAATGCTGAAGATTCTTGACATGTTTGTAAGCTGAGGATTTACTGTGAAGGTTTTCGGAGAATTGCTCTAGCCACGGTATTGTGAATTTCCAATATTTTGTTCATAATCATGACCCAGGTGTGCATGTGTATAAACATTTATGTATGTACATACATGGAGAATGATTATAATTAATAAATATGATTAATTTTGACATGCTAAGGGTATTTTGTAAGGTATAGTTTAACAAGAGCAGATCCATTTATTCAGCATAGAAAATAATGTAATGTGAACAGTGATATTTTATTCTATTATCATTAAATTTATCCTTACATTATTAATAAAACAATAATTAGTCTAGAATTAAAGCCTTTTTCAAGTTACATATAAAAGTTTTACAGGGCACAACTAGAAAGAATTAAAAAAAATATTAATTGTTGACAAACTGGAATAAATTTATCGGAGTCTTTACTAATATCTAATAACATACTCGACATTTTTTTTTTCCAAGAATTAATTTTAATGACTGTGTGGCTCATTAGAAAATAATGTTTTACGTCTATATACTTGAGCCATTTTGAAACCACATGTACTTCAAACTTAACCCACATTACAAAGGAGCATTCAAAAAGCTTTTGCTAGTTTCACTTAGGTCTCTACTAATGAAGGTTTAGAAATTCACGTAAGCAAACACTGGATGTATTTATTAGAACACATTTCAGTCCTAGGACCGTGATCAAGGTCTCAGGACCAAAACGTTCTCTAATAAATATGTCCTGGTGTTTGTTTACATGTCTTTCTGAAGCAATTTGTCAGTATCTATTACTGAGGATCATATCATATTAATGAGGGTAATCAATAATATATTCTCTCCTTGTGTAACTGGCTGAATGACTGCTGTGAAGACACACACATGGACACACACGCAGACACGTGCACGCACATGTGCGTGCACACACACAAAAGAAGCAAGAGACTACATAATAGGAATGCTTCAGTCTGGAGGTCCCAAGGGGTAACTGCAGTGATGTATAACCCACCACAGAACAGTAGGAGGCCAAGGCAAGAGTATGATTAGAGTAATAGAGCGATGGTTGACACACTGGCTGAAGTGGCCAGAAGGGCTCATGCAAGGAGAGCAAAGCTGCAGATTATGGTTGACTTCAACCACAAGGAAACTGACTGGGAGAACCTGGAACCACATGGAGGGCTAAGATGATGGAGGTGGTGCTGGAAAACCTCATGTACCAACATGTAAGGGACACTACCAGAGAGGAGAGGATGAACCAGCAAGACTGGACCTAGTATTCACCTTGAGTAGTGCAGACATTGAGGACATAACATGAGAGACCCCTTGGGGCCAGTGTAGAATTAGAATTACAAATGGAGAGGGAAGCAGGAATTGCAGGATGAATGAAGCCAAACTACAAGAGAGGGGACTACACAGGCATGAAGAATTTCCTACATGGGGTTCAGTGGGACAGAGAACTGGCAGGGAAGTCAGTAAACGAGATGATGGGATATGTGACAACAATATGCAAGGAAGCTGAGGAGAGGTTTGTACCCAAGGGTAACAGAAATAACGAGAAAGCCAGGATGAGCCCTTGGTTCACCCACAGGTGTAGAGAGGCTAAAACCAAGTGTGCTAGAGAATAGAATAAGTGTAGAAGGCAAAGGACCCAGGAGAATAAGGAGAGAAGTTGTAGAGCCAGAAATGAATATGCACAGGTAAGAAGGGAGGCCCAATGACAATATGAAAATGACATAGTAGCGAAAGCCAAATCTGACCCATTGTTGTACAGCCACATCAGGAAGAAAACAACAGTCAAGGACCAGGTAATCAAGCTGAGGAAGGAAGGAGGAAAGATCACATTAAATGACTGCGAAGTATGTGAGGAACTCAACATGAGATTCAAAGAAGTGTTCACAGAGGAGACAGAACAGACTCCAGAAAGACAGAGGTGGGGTACACCATCAAGTGTTGGACACAATACATACAACCAAGGAAGAAGTGAAGAGGTTGCTAAGTGAGCTAGATACCTCAAAGGAAATGGGGCCAAATAACATCTCTCCATGGGTCCTGAGAGAGGGACCAGAGGGACAAGAGATTAATGCAAAAGCTGGAGTACCAGGCAGGGATAACAGGGAAGGCACTACAATGGATCAGGGAATACCTGTCAGGAAGACAACAGCGAGTCATGGTACATGGCGAAGTGTCAGTGTGAGCACCTGTGATGAGTGGGGTCCCACAGGGGTCAGTCCTAGGACCAGTGCTGTTTCTGGTATTTGTGAATGACATGACAGAAGGAATAGACTCCGAAGTATCCCTCTTTGCAGATGATGGGAAGTTGAGAAGAATCCAACTGGACGAGGACCAGGCAGAACTACAAAGGGATTGGGACAGGCTGCAGGCCTGGTCC